CCAAATTCAGAAGGATGAGAGAACAAAGAACAAAGAAAATTACAGCACAGGAACAGGCCCTTCGGCCCTCCAAGCCTGCAGCAACCCAGATCCTCTATCTAAACCTGTCGCCTATTTTCCAAGGATCTGTATCCCTCTGCTCCCTGCCCATTCATGTATCTGTCTAGATACATCTTAAATGACGCTATCGTGCCCGCCTCTACCACCTCCACTGGCAACACGTTCTGGGCACCCACCACCCTCTGCATAAAGAACTTTCCACACATATCTCCCTTAAACTTTTCCCCTCTCACCTTGAAATCGTGACCCTGAGTAATTGAGTCCCCTACTCTGGGGGAGAAAGCTTCTTGCTATCCACCCTGTCTATACCTCTCCTGATTTTGTAGACCTCAATCAGGTCCCCCCTCAACCTCTGTCTTTTTAATGTAAATAATCCTAATCTACTCAACCTCTCTTCATAGCTAGCAATAGCTCCATACCAGGCAACATCCTGGTGAACCTCCTCTGCACCCTCTCCAAAGCATCCACATCCTTTTGGTAATGTGGTGACCAGAACTGTACGCAGTATTCCAAATGTGGTCAAACCAAAGTCCTATACAACTGTAACATGACCTGCCAACTCTTGTACTCAATACCCCATCCGATGAATGAAAGCATGCTGTATGCCTTCTTGACCACTCTATTGACCTGCATTGCCACCTTCAGGGTACAATGGACCTGAACACCCAGATCTCTGAGCATCAATTTTCCCCAGGGCTTTTCCATTTACCGTATAGTTTGCTCTTGAATTGGATCTTCCAAAATGCATCACCTCACATTTGCCTGGATTGAACTCCATCTGCCATTTCTCCGCCCAACTCTCCAATCTATCTGTATTCTGTTGCATTCTCCGACAGTCCCCTTCACTATCTGCTACTTCACCAATCTTAGTGTCATCTGTAAACTTGCTGATCAGACCATCTATACCTTCCTCCAGATCATTTATGTATATCACAAACAACAGTGGTCCCAACATGGATCCTTGTGGAACACCACTGGTCACAGTTCTCCATTTTGAGAAACTCCCTTCCACTATAACTCTCTGTCTCCTGTTGCCCAGCCAGTTCTGTATCCATCTAGCTAATACATCCTGGACCCCATGCGACTTCACTTTCTCCATCAGCCTACCATGGGGAACCTTATCAAACGCCTTACTGAAGTCCATGTATATGACATCCACAGCCCTTCCCTCATCTATCATCTTTGTCACTTCCTCAAAGAACTCTATGAAGTTGGTAAGACATGACTTTCCCTGCACAAAACCATGCTGCCTATCACTAATAAGCCCATTTTCTTCCAAATAGATCCTATCCCTCGGTATCTTCTCCAGCAGCTTTCCCACCACTGACGTCAGGCTCACCGGTCTATAATTACCTGGATTATCCTTGCTACCCTTCCTAAATAAGGGGACAACATTAGCAATTCTCCACTCCTCTGGGACCTCACCCGTGCTCAAGGATGCTGCAAAGATATCTGTTAAGGCCCCAGCTATTTCCTCTCTCGCTTCCCTCAGTAACCTGGGATAGATCCCATCCGGACCTGGGGACTTGTCCACCCTAATACCTTTTACAACACCCAATACTTGCCTCCCCCTCCGCCCCCACCTCCCCTCCCCTCCTTATGCCGACTTGACCTATCTATCCCTAACCTTAACATCTGTCATCTCCCTCTCCTCGGTGAATACCGACACAAAGTACTCATTAAGAATCTCACTCATTTTCTCTGACTCCTCGCATAACTTCCCTCCTTTGTCCTTGAGTGGGCCAACCCTTTCTCTAGTTCCCCTCTTGCTCTTTATATACGAATAAAAGGCTTTGGGATTTTCCTTAACCCTGTTTGCTAAAGATATTTCATGACCCCTTTAGCCCTCTTAATTCCTCGTTTCAGATTGGTCCTACTTTCCCAATATTCTTCCAAAGCTTTGTCTGTTTTCAGTCACCTAGACCTTATGTATGCTTCCTTTTTCCTCTTTGCTAGTCTCATAATTTCACCTGTCATCCATGGTTCCCTAGTCTTGCCCTTTCTATCCCTCATTTTCACAGGGACATGTCTGTCCTGCACTCTAATCAACCTCTCTTTAAAAGCCTCCCACATATCAAGTGTGGATTTATCCTCAAACAGCTGTTCCCAATCCACATTCCCCAGCTCCTGTCGAATCATCTTGCTATCGTTGGCCTTCCCCCAATTTAGCACTCTTCCTTTAGAACCACTCCCGTCTTTGTCCATGAGTATTCTAAAACTTAAGGAATTGTGATCACTATTCCCAAAGTAATCCCCTACTGAAACTTCAACCAACTGGCCGGGTTCATTCCCCAACACCAGGTCCAGTATGGCCCCTTCCCGAATTGGACTATTTACATACTGCTCCATAAAACCCTCCTGGATGCTCCTTACAAATTCTGCTCCATCTAAACCCCTAACACTAAGTGAATCCCAGTCAATGTTGGGAAAATTAAAATCTCCCATCACCACCACCCTGTAGCTCCTACATCTTTCCATAATCTGTCTACATATTTGTACCTCCATCCCACGCTCACTGTTGGGAGGCCTGTAGTACAGCCCCAACATTGTTACCGCACCCTTCCTATTTCTGAGCTCTGCCCATATTGCCTTACTGCTCGAGTCCTCCATAGTGCCCTCTTCAGCACAGCTGTGATATCCTCTTTGACCAGTAATGAAACTCCTCCACCCCTTTTACCTCCCTCTCTATCCCACCTGAAGCATCTATATCCTGGGATATTTAGTTGCCAATCTTGCCCTTCTCTCAACCAAGTCTCAGGAGTAGCAATAACCTCATACTCCCAGGTACTAATCCAAGCCCTAAATTCATCTGCCTTACCTACTACACTTCTCACATTAAAAACAAATGCACCTCAGACCACCTGTCCCTTTTGTGTTCATCATCTGCTCTCTACCTACTCTTCCCTTTAGTAACACTGACTTCATTATCTAGTTCCTTACAGGCTTTAGTTACTACCTCCTTACTGTCCACTAACCACCTCATTTGGTTCCCATCCCCCTGCCACATTAGTTTAAACCCTCCCCAACAGCATTAACAAAAGCACCCCCTAGGACATTGATTCCAGTCCTGCCCAGGTGTAGACCGACTGATTTGTAATAGTCCCACTTCCCCCAGAACCACTCCCAATGTCCCAAAAATCTGAACACCTCCTGCACCATCTCTCAAGCCACTCATTTATCCTGCCTATTCTTTCATTTCTACTCTGACTAGCACGTGGCACTGGTCGCAATCCTGAGATTACTACCTCTGAGGTCCTACTTTTTAACTTGGCTCCTAACTCCCTAAATTCTGCTTGTAGGACCTCATCCTGTTTTTTCACCTATATCATTGGTACCTATATGCACCACGACAGCTGGCTGTTCACCTTCCCCCTTCAGAATGTCCTGCAGTCGATCCGAGACATCCCTGACTCGTGCACCTGGGAGGCAACATACCATTCGGGAGTCTTGTTTTCGACCATAGAACCGCCAGTCTACTCCCCTTACAATCGAATCCCCTATGACTATAGCCCTTCCACTCTTTTTCCCGCCCTATTGTGCAGCAGAGCCAGCCACGGTACCATGAACCTGGCTACTGCTGCCTTCCCCTGGTGAGCCATCTCCCCCAACAGTGTGCAAATCAGTATACCTGTTTTGGAGGGAGATGACCGCAGGGGACACCTGCACTGCCTTCCTGCTTTTTTTTCTGCCTTTTGGTAACCCATTGCCTTTCTCCCTCAGCAATCCTAATCTGCGTTGTGACCAGTTTGCTAAACGTGCTATCCACGACTTCCTCAGCATCGCACATGCTCCAAAGTGAGCCCATCCGCAGCTCCAGAGCCGTCGTGCGGTCTAACAAGAGCTGCAGCTTGGACCCACTTCGTGCTCATGTAGGAGTCAGGGACATCAGCCGCGTCTCTGAGCTCCCACATTGAGGTGATCTAATTGAAGCTTTGAAACTTCTTAGGGGCTTTGATGGGCTTAGGGCAAAAGGTATAGGTTTAGAATTAGTGTGGTCACTAACTCATTGGAACAGGTTATTTGGACTGGAATGAGAAATTTCTTCACTCAAAGGGTTCGGCATCTTCAGAATTCTCTGCCCCAGAGACTGTAGATAGTCAGAAGTTGGCAGGTTTTTTTTTGGGTATTAAGGAAATTACACAATATAGGGTTAGCCTAGAGTTGAGATAGATAATCAGTCATGATGTTATTGAATAGTGGAACATCCTTGAAGGACTGAAAGGCTTATTCATGCTCCTATTTGTCATATTCTTAGGGAGTCTTAAGATCAAAACATGTGTTAGGAGACGGATGTTCTACTGGGTAGTATTCCAAATTTGATAGTCTGTTTAGTTTTGTATGGGAGTAATGAAATTATCAATATATGAAAAAAATGCTTTCCTACTTTTTACATCTCATTTCTAAAACTTGTAATTTTACAATTCAAGATCATCTTGGATTCTATGAATGGAGCTCCAAATAGTTCTTTTACAGCAATTAAGCATCTGAGTCACAAAATATGGCTTGAAATTAACACATAATAACGTTTATCTTCAGAGACGTAACCTTGTCTTTCATGAAAGGCTATTTCACAAAATATTTCTTTCTTCCAAGCAGAGTTTGGAATGTACTATGTGAAAATACATCAAACTCTGCTAAATTTAGTAAGTATTTGACATAGCAGATGTATTGAGTCAGCTCAACCAATATTGGTTCTGCATTTATGCAGCTGGTCTGAACAATCTTCTGATGATTCAGAGGTAATTTAGCCAGGGACGTGATATTCAAAGTGGATTTGCTAGCCCTAGTGCTGAAATGTTTGCTAACAAACTTAGTACTGACTAAGAATTGGAAGTTCTTAAAATTTTGCAAGATTCAAAAAGTGATTAATAAAAATGTTAAATATGTTAAGTACAAAATAAAGATATTTATCTCTAAGCCTACCATCATTTCAATTACAGATGTTCCAGCTTGGCTTAAAAGTTTGCGTCTGCATAAGTATGCAGCTCTATTCTCTCAACTAACATATGAAGAAATGATGGCACTTACAGAAGTACAATTAGAGGCACAGGTAGGTTGATTATACTCTGACTTTGTTGCAAAAATGCTAATTTTCGTGTCTTTTATCAATTGAGTTTTATGATCTGTTAATTTGTAAGTTGAAATTTTGATTTTGGGGAAGTTTCAGATTTCCCCACCTTCACTTACGTGTGTATGTCTGAATGATCTCTGGTCCCTTTTCTGTTTGGAGACCCATTTATTAATTATTTGCCCTTTTTTGTTCGATCAGTTGTGTGCTCTCTTGCACACAAAATGTGGGCATTCATATATTTGTTTATGTACTCTTGTAATTTCCTATATCTGTTTGCCTTTTTCAGACATATAGTGCCCTTAATGACCTCTGGATATTCTGTAGGGCTTCACAACCAATGAAATACATTTAAAAGTGTAATCACTGTTTTAATTTGGGGAATTTGCAGACAATCAAAACGCTCAAACAGCAACAAGAAAAAAATGACCATGGTGATTTTTTTAGTTCGGTGAATAATATCGACCAGGACATCTGAAAACTTCCTTACTGTTTCACTATTTCCATGAAATTCTTTAAGTTGCTGAGACCAGACTTAGCTTAATTTTTCATCTGTGTCTCACTATAGTACAAACCTTTGTTAGTTTATGTTCAGGTCTCTAAAGTGGTGCATAACCTTCTGACTGACAGAGAATGCTACTGACTTCTAAAACGAGTTCATTAAAGAATTTACGATGTGTTGGCTTGGCATCCCTAATTGTCCTTGAGAACGTTGTTGTGAACTGTCATTTTGGCGAATGCAGTCCCTTTGATGTAGATACATCCACCATACTGTTCGTGAGGGAGTTCAAGATTTTGATTCAGTGACAGTGAAGGAATGGTGATATATGCCCAAGTAAAAGTGGCATGATGCTTGGGAGGTACTTGCAGGTAGTGGTCCTTGCATGCATCTGCTGCCCTAGATGGTAGTGGTCATCAGTTTAGAAAGTGCTATCTGAGGAGTCTTGGTTAATTTCTGCATTGCATCTTGTAGCTGGAGGTATCCATTGCTGTTATTGTTTCAGTGATGAAGGGAGTGGATGTTTGTGGATGTGGTGCCAGTCAAGGGACTATATTGTCCTGGATGGTGTCAAGATTCTTGTGTTGTTGGAGCTGCACCCATCCAGGTAAGTGGAGAGTATTCCATGACCTGTGCTTTGTAGATGTATTCCTATCAGAATGTAACCTGACTACCTGATTGATTTTCATGCAGCCTTAATTCTGTGGAAGCTTAGTATTGTCAAACAGAGACCTAGGGATTCAAGGATATAGTTTTTTGAAAGTTGTGTCACAGGTAGACAGTTTGGTTAAGGCTTTTCGCATGCTTACCTTCATTGCTCAGATAATTGAGTGAAGGAGTTGGAATGTTATCTTGAGCTGTACAGGACTACCTGAATGGCTGTAAATTGACAGAGGGGAGTGTGCAGCAGGACCTGGGTGTCCTTCTGCACCAGTTGCTGAAGGTAAGCGTGCAGGTGCAGCAGGCAGTAAATAGTATGTTGGCCTTCATTGCGAGAAGTTTCAAGTACAGGAGCAGGGATGTGTTGTAGTTATACAGGGCTTTGGTGAGGCCACACCTAGAATATTGTGTGCAGTTTTGGTCTCCTTTTCGGAGGAAGGATGCTCTTGCTCTCGAGGGAGTGCAGCAAAGGTTTACCAGGCTGATTCTGGGGATGGCGGGACTGACATACGAGGAGAATTTGACTAAGTTAGGATTGTGTTCATTGGCGTTCAGCCGAAGGAGGGGGTATCTCATAGAGACTTATAAAATTCTAACAGGACTAGGCAGGGTAGATGCAGGTTCCCGATGGTGGGTGTCAAAACCAGGGGTCACAGTCTGAGGAATCCAGGTCGACCATTTAGGATAGAGATGAGACATTTCTTCAATCAGTGGTGAGCCTGTAGAATTCATTACTACAGGAAGTAGTTGATGCCAAAACATGGAATCTGTTCAAGAGGTGGCTAGATATAGCACTTGGAGCGAATCGGAATAAAGGTAATGGGGAGAAAGCAGGATTAGGCTATTGAGTTGGACATTCAGCCATGATTGTGATGAATTGTGGAGCAGGCTCGAAGGGCCGAATGGCCACCTCCTGCTCCTATCTTATGTTTCCATGCTGGTGAGGTCACCTTTTGGAGTACTGTGTACAATTTTGGTTGCTCTGCTATAGGAAGGATACTGTTGAGCTGGAGAGGTTTCAGAAAAGATTCACCAGGAAGTTGCTGGGACCAGGGCGGGGGCCGGGGAGGGGGTTGGAGTTACAAAGAGTGGCTGGATAGGTGCAGCCACCACCACCACCAGAGCATGAGAGGTTGAGGAATGTTCTTGGAGAGGTTTATAAAATAATGAGGGCCTTAGATAAGGTGAATAGCAAAGGCCTTTTCCCTAAGGCGAGGAAGTTCAAAATTAGCGGGGCATGTTTTTAATGAGGAGAAGGATTTAAAAAGGGACATGTGCTGCAACTTTTTCACAGAGATTGCTTCATATGATGAATGAACTGCCAGAGGAAGTGGTAGATGCAGGTACAGTTACAACATTTAAAAGACATTTGGAGAAGTACATGAATAGAAAAGGTTTAGAGGAATATGGGTGAAACACAAGCAAGTGGGACTAGTTCAATTTGGGAAACTTGGTCGGCGTGGATGAGTTGCGAAGACCTGAAGCGTCTGTTTCTGTGCTCTATGACTCTGTGCCACTATGTTTTATACTTTTTCCGGCAATCAACATGTAATAGGGGCCATTTTCTCTCAGTCCTGTTTTGAGTCAAAATCATGAGTTTGATGCCAAGATTTGGGTGCCCAACCTACACTGACACTGTGATGCTGTATTGAGGAAGTAGTGTCGTTTGAAAAGATGTCTTTCAACTGATCTGTTTAACTGACACCATGTTTCTTGTGATTATTCAAGTGGATGTTGTAGATTCCATGGTATTACTTAACGGACGGCTCTCATAATGTCATTGACAACAGTCCCTCCTCAATATGATACTTTTTGATTCAGTACAGGTCCATCCAGATCCCTCTGTACCTCAGAATTCTGTAGTCTCTTGATTTGAATAATAATCTGCATTTGTATTCTTCCTACCAAAATGGGGAACCTCACATTTTCCCATGTTATCTTCCATCTGAAAAATTATTACGTATTCATTCAGCTGTCTGTATCTCTTTGCAGAATTTTTGGCTTGGACCCTACAGTTAGCAACAAAGCAAAGATGTATGTCACTGACTTTGTTTTAAAAAAAAAAAGTATCTTCTCACCTTTTCCATAGGCTGCAGCAGGAACTTGCTCTCTTGGCAGCAGCATGGATCAATTGCTTAGTTAAGTGGGGGTTGAGGTGCAGTTCTAGCTGAAGCCGCTGTACTGTATAGTTCTGTTTTCTACTCAACGACAGATTTTGTTTTTAATAATTTCAAACATTTTCTTTTCATGTGCATCTATTTAAGAAAGGTGGTAAGGAAAATCCAGGGAACTGTAGACTGGTGAGCCTGACATCAACGGTGGGCAAGTTTTTGGAGGAAATCCTAAGGAACAGGATTTACATGTATTTGGAAAGGCAAGAACTGATCAGGGATAGACAACATGGCTTTGTGTGTGGGGAAACTTGATTGAGTTTTTGGAAGAAGTAACGAAGAGGATTGGTAAGGGTAGAGAGGTGGACATGATCTGTATAGACTCGAGTAAGGTATTTGACAAGGTTCCACATGGTTGACGACTTAGCAAAGTTAGATCACATGGAATACAGGGAGAACTAGCCATTGGGATACAGAACTGGCTTGAAGCTAGAAGACAGAAGGTGGTGGTAGAGGGTTGCTTTTCAAACTGGAGGCCTGTGACCAGCGTGTGTGCCACAAGGATCAGTGCTGGATCCAATGCTTTTCGCCACTTATATAAATGATTTGGATGTGAGTATAGGTATGGTTAGCAAGTTTACAGATGACACTAAAATTGGAGGTATAATGGACAGCGAAGAAGGTTGCTTCGGAGTACAACGGGATCTTGATCAGAAGGCTGATGGCTGAGTTAAATGAAGGCCATCAATTTAACTGGGGCGAGGTAACAACAGTAGCCCAAGCCAAACATAGACACGCACGGGAAAACCTAGAGGCATGGTTCTCCACCCCTAATGCAATCAACAAATGCATAGAATTAGAGCCCATATACAAACCCATACAGATCAAAACCGTAAATTACACTAATCACAATAATGGACCAAACAGTGTAAATTCCAAGCAGCGTAGAATAATTTGCTTCATCGGAGGCTCCACTGATGATGTCACCTAGCATGGTGACAAAATGTCTGAACGAGAACAAGCCAGCTCAGCGAGCAAGTCAACACCTCAATGTTGTGAAATTTGAAAGGGTTCGGAAAAGAATTAGGAGGATGTTACCAGGGTTGGAGGGTTTGAGCCACAGGGCTAGGCTGAAATAGGCTGGGGCTACTTTTCCTGGAAGGTCGGAGGCTGAGGGGTGATGTTAGAGATTTATTAAATCATGAGGGACGTAGATAGGGTAAATAGACAAGGTCTTTTCCGTGGGTTGGGGGAGTCCAAATGTAGAGGGCATAGGTTTAAGGTGAGAGGTTAAAGGTTTAAATGGGACCTAAGAGGCAACTTTTTGATGCAGAGGGTGGTGTGTTTATGGATTGAGCTGCCAGAGGAAGTGGTGGAGGCTGGTACAATTACATTTAAAAGGCATCTGGATGCATACATGAATAGGAAGGGTTTAGAGGGATATGGGCCCAATGCTGGAAAATGGGACTAAATTAATTTAGGATACCTAGTCAGCATGGATGAATTGGACTAAAGGGTCTGTTTCCGTGCTGTATATCTCTGACTGGATTTCTAACTCAACTGCCCCCGATCATTCCTCCAAGCTCTGCTCACAGCCATACCATTGGCCGTGCTTTGTACACTGTTACTTCAGAACCCCTGACTCTGCTCTGTTATTGGTGCTAATATCTACCTTAATTTCAGTCATGAAGTTGATCAAAAAATCATCAGAGACAGGTGTCATGAACAAAAAGAAAATAGGGTGTGAATTTATGATGGATTGCCTTTTCTCCCTAAATTCCAAGGCTGCAAGGTATTGTTTGATTTAGTCCTTTCTCCATTGTCTGCAGTCCCTTACTGACGTAGTTTTCTTAAATCTGGTTTTCTGATTTCAAATTTTGAAATAAAACTACAGCAAAAGCCTTTTTAAGATAAAATCAAAGGTAGGGTTTAT